AAATGGAGCGGAAGCAAGGTACCTGTCGGTCAAGTGTATGCTTGAGTATCCGCCCTGCGGTAGTCTGAGCTTCCTGCTAAGGAGGGAGGCCTAGACCAACAGGTGAACAATACAATAGAAAGAAAGGGGGGAAAATAAATGCTGTAAGAAATACCAGGTCCTGCTGACAGACCCCATCATACGTAATCTTTTTAATTTGACTACTGCCTACCTATCTTAGCTTTAGGGACGAGGTTAGCTGAGTCAAACTTGTCTAAGCTTGGCGTCTTGAATCTGTAACAGATGTAAAAATAGTGTCACCACTGGTTCAGTAACTGCCTCACTATTACCGACTTGAAACTTTGCGCCCCCTTATGCTCCCGACAAGTGATTTGCAATAAAAAACATACAGTAAGAAATGCTAAACCGTAACCCGATTCACGTACCAATTAGTATGGACAAAATACTTGTGACCTATGCTTAAGGTCAACGAATCATGCAATGCTGACCTAGAGACCAAATTACAATAATGAGTAACTGGACAGATGAATGCAATGTCCCCGGGCTCGCATGCGAGCATCCTGCCTGAAAAAGCCACAACTGGCTTTGGTGCCGGGAACCCAGTTGTGAAGGATCCTGTTATCTCTTTAGTACCGATCCTTGCAGCTTCTCCCAAACTCCCAGTAGAATAATAACAAAGTAGTGATTATAGCTCCCAATTCCCCCAAACATGAGTCGAGACTTCATGAAGGGGTAAAACGATCTGATTTATAGATGGCCAAACTCAGCCTTTTATGATGGTCTCCCAGCAAGGAAACTCCCACAGAGGATCTTGTGGAAAACTGTGACAAAATATACAGAACCAATCAGTTTACAATACAATTATTAAACACACCCACAGTAACAGTGCAACCCCTCCCCTCTATCCTGGAGATAATTAACTTAAATTGTTAGATAGAACCTAATTATCTCCAGGTTGAGAAAACATGTCCTTTTTACATTTTGACAAAACTGTATTAAAATCCATAACTTATATTTGGCTGGACGTAGTCTCCATGTTCCACATACCCCCAGATAGCTTGGATCTGAGTGCACAATATAGACGAATAGCGCTCAGATCCCACGAACCCAGTTCTCAATATCGTCAAGTAAAGTTTTTAGTTCACCGGTTGTTCGGGAGATTGAATCCGAAAAGAGTTCTGTTACAAACTGCAATTTGTAACTGGCCCTTTAAATGACAAATGACCCTGCTTCCCTGGGTTGTGGAGAAGCCTAATTGTCAGCCTCCTTCCGCATGACTATGGCCCCTGGGAGATTATACGTGTTTAAACCAGCATTTGGGCATATGGACTTTTATTGTATGGTGCTGGCCCTTATATACATACGGAAACTTTTACCCTTACATACTGAAACTTTTGAGACACTTTTTCTGCCCCTTTGAATTCATGGTGTTGCAGTGTAAGCATGCAGAAGCCAAACACAGAAATATTGGACACAGGTCTTCAGGAAGTAACAGGCCTTTATTCACATTACCGATCGGGTCTCAGATGAACTCCTGTTCCAACATTCTGAGAGACCAACACATAGTGTACATTCCTTATATAGCACTATAACTCCTCCCATTAATAGCTACACCCACATATACCTTTAACCAATCAATGAGCAGAATATAGACTTGTACATCTAGTCAAACCACATGGCTCATCCAAGACAAAGGAAATAAGTGCAATTTCAGTTCCTGCATTCCTGCACATGCTCAGTACACTGATGACAGTATCCTAGCTACATGTAGCTAACCAACTGACACAACATACACATATGCCACATGGAGATTTTGGCCTACTAAATTTTAACCATGCTGGAATCCCATCACATTCCCCCCTTTGATGCCTCTGATATAACATTATTCCAGATGCATCACCAATCACAGTTTTACCTACATCTCTCAAGTAGCCATTGAACCAGAGTAGACCTTGTAAGCATCTTAAAAACTCCTTCAACATTCTTCATCCTGAATATATTCTCTTCGGGCTAGGGGATCATATCTTCCAGACAGCCATTACATGAGCCGCTGTCTTTCTCTCTATAGTACTCTCTATAATACTATGTAGGGACCTTACCACTAGTGGAATTAGACAGGGCAGGAGGAGGCACAAAAAAATATAATAAATTCTACTCCTCCTACTAATGTCTTAATTCCTCCAAGCTGCTCATACCAACTTCCAAACCAACTACTTAGGTTATACCCATTCCAGACCTGAGTAGGTACATGCTCAAATTTAACCATGTGGCTTGTAAGTTCAGCCACTGCCTGCCCTTCATCATCTATGTGCAGACAACAGTTACTTAGATTAAACTTTCCGCATACACCTCCTTCTACTGCTAGTAAGTAATCAAGGGCTAGCCTATTCTGGTATATGGCTGATCACATCTTGGTATTTTGCTTAGCTAGAAGATTAAGCACTTGAGCTGTGTCATTAGTAATAATCTCAACTACCGCCCGTAGTCTAATAATGCGGTTGAGCATATATAATCGGAGTTCTATATCCATAAGTGCCATCTTCTGCCCAAGTAGTAGGTCCATAATAATTAATAATACGTTGAGGGGGCCACTCATTATCTTCCCAGCTACCTGTATTCAAGGATGCTCTCTCCCTTTTATGATTTACATCGTAAACCTTAACTCCCAAGGTCTCTCCTGTTTCGATTGGCAACAAGAAGAAGGATGGCTTTGGCATACCTAATACACATGCCCCTTCCCAATCTTGTGGTAACTCCGAATAAGTTTTCTTACCACAGATCCAGTATAAATTTGCTGGGGCTTTCCAACTAGATGTAGCCGATAAGTCAAACCATACCTCCTTTAAATGAATGTAATTGGCAAACGGATTAGTAGGTTCCGAGACATTTAAAGCTGACCACCAAGTAGTATTTTTAGTATTAACATTATAGGCTTTTTGTCCCAAGCACGTTAGCTCACCTACAGACGTGTTATACATTGTCCCTTTCCTGGCTATACAAACATGACCTATAATGGAGGTTTTTAACCACCATTCCAATTTACTTCTAGTACTTACTTGATGATCAGACTGGAAAGGTATCTGTTGTTCATATGTCTCAGAGCCAGGGTACCATATTTCCTTTGCCTCCCATGGCCACTGGTCTCCCATATTAGTACCTCCACACACATAGCAATTAGTTACATTAAGACTACCTGCAATACCCTTAGCCAAATCAATAAATAGGTTGTTAACATTATGGGGAATTTTATCCTCAATACTCATCTCCTCATAAAAGGAATGAGAAACCTGATGAGTTTGAGTTGCCACTGTCTCAGTTTCAAGACCTACATATATTATTGTTCCTGAATCTACTCCTGTGCCATATATTTGGAACCCAAACAGACCTCCAAACCTGTCAATAAAGTACTGCAGATTGGAAATGGTCATGTGAACGGGGTTACACACATAGTTTTACAGTATGGTGTGGTAGGCAACCTTTGGATAATCATATCTTGATCCACTGTTTTTCCCAGGTTGCCCAACCTACACATGACAAATAGGGGCAGAAGTTAGTCTCTATTTGGGCAATCAGGATCAGTAGATCTTATACTGGGACATAAGTATTTATCATTAAACCCATAAGTTCGTTCCCATTTAAGATTACCACATACATTCCAAAGTCTTCCACTACCCGAAATCGCCTTACATGCATCAAATAGTAGAATACCCGCGGAATGTATGGTGCTTATCACAGTCCTATTTATTAATGTCCCCTGGGAGTTACTATTCCGAATTACCAACCAAATTGTACGGGGTTGGAAATGGGGATCAAAACATTTAGACTCTCCTGATATTGGCTTGCACACACTATAATCAATATCCAAATATCTACATTTAGATACAGATCCCTTACATTCATACTGTGAGTGCCAGATGAGAGTTTGGGATATTTGGTTACCTGTTTTAGTAGTCTTAATGCAACTATCGCAATTCGGTATGTCTGTACTCCTACCTTCCTGAAAAATCATAAAAATACTAAGACACAATAAAACACATTATTCCTGAAATCCTCATTTTTCTTCAACCGTGCGATGGCCTCTCAGCTTCCCGATTGTGAGGGCTGCAAGGATGTTGTTCTTCTGATCCTCACTTTCCTTCACAGAGATCCCTTCAAGATACTCTGGCTATGACACGTAGGCAGGTGGTCAGGCTTTATTATGGCCGTCAAAACACCTACTTGATGATCTTTGTAGACTTTTAACTAGAATGTCTCGATATCCCCTCGTCACTCCGACTGAGTTGCACGCTTCAACCGGGTCCTGCAAGGATTCTCAGGATCTGGAGTAGTTTGCCAAGAGTCTGCTGCTGGTTTAACCTTAGAATGATGAATCCAAGGAGTCACTTCCGCCACCTTTACAGCTGTTGGGGTAGATAAAAGAACAACATACAAAGGCTAACAGAATACACCCCGAGCTTTAACTCAATATGTATTGGTGGGATATTACGAGCAAGTCCTGGAGGATTATTTTCTTCCCATACTCCTGGAATGTCAAATAAGGATTCATCACTCTTAGGGTTAACACTTGTCACTATGGAATAGAAGCGTCATTCTTCTTCCCTTGGCACCGATATCGCCATTATGCCTGGTAATCCCTTAAACTTCAGAGATGTTAATCCATTAGGTAAAAGGTTATCTGAGCTTAAAGCTTCGATAATAGATCTCGTCCTAAAAGTTGAATCGGACACTCTGGCATATATAGGAACTAATGCTTCACCACATGGCCTCCCAGAATACAAGTGCGACTCTTAAGAACCGGTCTAGCTGCACTTCTCCCAGTAGCTCCTATCACAGTTATAGTCTTCCCCGAAGGCGGAGCCACCATCTTAGTCACCACAGAATGTTCAGCACCTGTGTCGATCATGAAAGAACTTCTCTTTCCCCCTATTGCTACATCGACCATAGGCTCCGCTCGACCAAGTGGGATGGAGCCCAGTCGGTATCAATAGTCTTCCATGATAGTGTCAGCCAGACCCACAAAATCTCTATCCTCTCTTTCTCTAGGTCTCTGCGTGGGTGGATAGTATCTGTCTCCTTGAACACTTCCTCTACTATTCCCACCATTCCCTCTAAAACTTCCTCTTCCTCTATAACTACCACTATAACCTCCTCGTACCCTTCTCTCTCCTGTCTATCACCTTCATACTACTCTCTCTGTGGACACTCACTCTTCCAATGTCCCTCCTTTCTACAATACGCACATTAATTCCTACTTAAAGTCCCTTGCTCAGCCTATTCTCGTCTCCTCTATTCACTTCCCTGTCTTTCTACACTTAAGATAGCTACCGCTAGCATATCTGCCTTTTTCCTCATTTTACGTTCTTGCTCCCACTTTACCTCTGTCTCCCTATTACTATCACCTTGGGTCTGGCTGACAAATGCTGAGTCTATCATTCGGAAGTTTTCAGGATTGAAAGGAGTGTACAATCTATTTGACTCAAGCAGTGTCTAATATGGGACTTCGGCAAGGCTGCCCAATAATAGGTTCCAGTCTACGGGTAGTAAGATAAGTGTAAGGGGGTGAGCTAATTTTATTAGTCGGCATTTGGTGGATGAAAAAACGTTTTGTTTTTTTAAAGTGTTAAACCAAAAACCTACCAGTAGGTGTCACCAGAGGGTAATTGTATCAAAATAATCTTTATGGGTCTAATAAGAAAACTCAACTTTTAATATATTTATACATAAAATAAAACCTTATAGCAATAAATATATTAAAATAGGGTAAGCAATCCTACATCTATCTGTTATAAACAATGTATTATCAATGTAACTCCCGAAGATGGCCAGTAGGTGGCTTAGAGTGCCTCCCTAAAGTCAAATGAAACAAATAGACTTTAATTAATTATGTCCTATTTTATTATTACTTATTTTAATCAATGTCCACCCTGCTAGCTAGGCTTGATTAAATCTTTAGTTCTAAGGTAAATTAAACATTTCAGTTTGTAGTTTAGTAAAAAGGGGACATTTTGGACAAAGCTGGGAGGGGCCCATCCAGTAACTAAAAAAACCAATATACCATCTGATACCATTGATCATTAATTAGGGGGAGGGGTAGTACAGAAATACAAGAGTTTGAAACACAGGAACAGGTAGGTATGTGGGTAGGCGGGGACAGTAGAGCAGGGGGAGTGCAAATACTGACTATATACCAGTTTTGGGAGTAAGAAATGGGCGTGGCTACTCTGGCTCTGGAGGATGTTTGGGGGGTTGGTAATCAGATGCCAGGGGGGGAGGGGATGTCCAAAGCAGTTGTAATCAAGGCCTTAGTTCTGACCACCATATGGCTACATTGTTTCCCATATGACACAGTTTAATTCACCAAGGCAATTTTTCAACAAATCAGTTTCCAACAGTCAATTTATAGAAACTGATCATAGAATTCCAGCCTACTAGTTACAGCCACATGTACACCCTGCACTAAATTTAAGTGAAGACTGCTACATGGAGGCCATGCGGCCACCAGGACAGGCTACTCCCTACTTTTTTTTTTTTTTTAAACATACAAGACAAAGCCTTGTGAATCAGAAGATTATTTCAACAGAGCATCTGATTCAAAAAGCTGTACAAATATACACACAGTTTCAACAGTCACACCAATCTCCTTATCACCAGCAACACATTGCGCAGTCACTAGGCCCAAACACACACACAGGATCCTCACATGCTCAACAATATCACGACGTCGCACACACAAAATTAAATCAAAAACCCACCAAAGACTATACACTTATCAATGTAACTATTATTCAAACCATACAACTATCCACGCTATTAATCCATATAAACTAACCGATCACATAACATTTCAACAATTTCATCTCTACAATTATCCGTACTATAAATCAACTAACCAACTATATCACATTCTAGTAACCTCATCTTTACAGTCAGTGGTTATGGTACAGTTAGTAAGTGGTTATAATACAGTTTTAAAGTCACAGATCAGTTAGTAACAGTTATGGTATTATACATATAACATAAAACAGCAATTGTTAGTAATTTTTACACAATGTCAGTGGTTATGGTACATGTCAGTAGTTATGGTACCGTGCGCTATTTTACAGTTATACACACAATTTACACTCCCACTAGACAGCAGAGCTCTAACTTTCTAGTAGGACATACAAGTTAACCAATTCACCAACTACAATATATTTAACAACATTTACAATAATCCCAACTATTCTAACTGGCCAGCACCTCGAGAGCTTTCGATCTATTTATACACCAGAGATTCGATAAGTTCTTCGCTGCCCAGACACCACGTATAGCGAACTAGAGGGCAGAATTTACACAGTACCCAGCTAGTCTATTAAACTATCAATAAGCTAGTGGCTGGATTTACAACAGAGCACACTTAGTTAAGATAGGGTGAAATCTAGCAAACTATAATATACAACAGAGTATGCTAGTCTCCCGGTCCCCCCGACCTAGCGAACAAAATTTACACCCTAGATACGCTAGTCAAGACAGGACACTGGTGTCCGACATGAGCTATTTACACCAGAACTCAGTCTGACCTAAACCAATAAGTGTTGCGCTTTTCACTTCTTCCATCCATAAGGACAGGGCAGATTCCAATAACCGGTTCCAAATATAAAACCCCTTGTGGGTCTACCGCTCTAACGGTATCAATCTTACCTGTCAATTACTGGACCTGGGTTCACTCATAGACGGAACAATCCGGGACTCACTGCGCAGAAGCCGATGATCTCCTGGACAAAAGGCCAGTGGCGCCGAGACGAAAGGAGGTCCACGCAGTAGAAGTCCAGGATTGTAGCGTAGAAGGTTTGGTAAAAGTTTACCGTCTCAAATCTCTGTGCCAGCTTCCGTGCGATGAGGTTCCCGGGCCAATTGCACCAGAAATGTTGCAGTGTAAGCATGCAGAAGCCAAACACAGAAATATTGGACACAGGTCTTCAGGAAGTAACAGGCCTTTATTCACATTACCGATCGGGTCTCAGATGAACTCCTGTTCCAACATTCTGAGAGACCAACACATAGTGTACATTCCTTATATAGCACTATAACTCCTCCCATTAATAGCTACACCCACATATACCTTTAACCAATCAATGAGCAGAATATAGACTTGTACATCTAGTCAAACCACATGGCTCATCCAAGACAAAGGAAATAAGTGCAATTTCAGTTCCTGCATTCCTGCACATGCTCAGTACACTGATGACAGTATCCTAGCTACATGTAGCTAACCAACTGACACAACATACACATATGCCACATGGAGATTTTGGCCTACTAAATTTTAACCATGCTGGAATCCCATCACAATGGGAAGGTATGCCTCTTCCCTCCCCCAGCTCCATTGTTCCCCAGCAGGGAGTTGTCCCAGGGACACTGCCAGACCAGTGGGAACTGGTTTGGGCAGGAAAAGCCATGCTTGCAAGTGAAAACAAAGGACTTGGACCTAACTTTTAAACCCTTGAACCTATTCAAGTGAATTTTGGATATGTTTGTCCCCAAGTTATACTGGTTAAAATAATATAAGTTTTATGTATGTATATACTTTTTAACCCCTGAACCGATTGCCCTGATTTTTCAGTATGTGTATATTTCAAGCATGCGGATTCTAAAAATGTATGTTTTATGTGAATGGCATGTATATTTTGGAAGTTATTAATATTTTGTAAAAACTGTATTTCTCTGCCTGTGATAATTATATTACCTATTGTGTTCAGTAACCATGTCACAGGCAGAGGGCAGGATTTTGTGCTGGAGTGTCTGTGTGTATTGTACGGATTGATTGGTTGTATTTCAAAACCCTGTGGGCAGTACTATGTTTGTGGATTGTGAATAAAAGAGGCTGTATGTGCCAGTACAGTCAGTTCTGCTTGACCTCAAAACGAAGTGCCGTCTTGTTATTGGGGGAATTGGATTGTATGCTGATTGCCAGGAGTGGAAGCTGATTGTATGCTTTTCAGCTGCTTACAGCATTCATATGCTTGAGAGCATTCATATGCTTCTCCGGTTCGGTGGTTGTGGTGTCTGCTGCAGTGCTTGGAACACTCTGGAAGCGCTAGGAGCATCCTTCAACGGAGGTACCCAGTCGGGGTGCCAGGTGATCCGTTACAATTATATATATATATATGTAGCGGATGGTACTGTGGCTGTCCTTAAAGACTATGAGAATCCTGCAATTCGTGTGTTGTTTCTGCTTTGTAGGTAGCATTCGTATGATTGTTCGGTAGTTTCCATCTGTATTTCATACGAATGAAAACTACCGAACTAATAGACCACCCCAGAGTGAAGCATGTCCCTCATTAAGCTGTAAAGTACTTGCTAACCGCAGACTAATAGGTGGTTTATGGATGTATCTGGGTGGCCGCCATTCGGCATGCGAAAACCTGACGGCGGCCATCTTACGCACGAGAGGCTCAGCTGTGTTTGGTCGTCGAGTGTCTGGAACTCAAATCGGACACTCGATTAACCGAACACCGCTGACACCTCCAGAGCTCCATAACTCACGAACGGGAAGACGAATTAGCCCCCCGTTCGGTGAGTTTAGAGTACCGAATGAGGGAAGTCATGCAAACGTAACTGTATTAATGGATGGCGGGTTTTTATGTGTCTTTTACCTCTCGAACGGAGACCGACCGCAGGGCCAAAACGCATGGAACCCTTTTCGGATACCACCTCATGTGCGGTCGGTCAAATTCCACCCTCCACCTAACTCCCAAACACCTGGTCTGATCTGGGTGAATTTTGGATATGTTGGTCACTCAGATCAGGGCTATCAGGGGGTACCCAAAGTATTGGTGTACCTGCTAATCTTGGGGTACATCCAGATCTTGGGGAAAACTATAACCTGTATAATGGGATTAGGTGTCATACTAAGGGGAGGAGATGTGTGGGAGGTAACTGCTATTCCATTGGGTACTGTCTTAATGAAAGTGAATCCCTCCCTTGCATGGGAGAAATGCTTAAAAGGAGGTTGTGTGGAATAAACGTCAGTTCTGCTCCTGATGCTGTGTGTCGTCCAGTCATTGGGATCTGTATGGGGATATTCTTGGATTACCTTGCTTGCTGGAATTATTACTTTATGGGATTTTTCATCGCTTGTTCCTGAGCCTCACTGGGATCTTAGTGGAGTTAACCTGTGAAATACCAGGCCTCCGCTAAAATATATATATATATATAAATATATATATATATGTATACATACACACACACACACACACATACATACAAATTACTGCGCCATATCAAGGTTCTGACAAAACTGTCCCTATCCACTAACACGCATAGCGCATATGATATGGTGTTTTTCTTATATCAGAGGTTTATGTCATAAGATCAC